AAAATTCCTTTTCTACAGGTCTTCCCTGGGAACACTGACCGTGACACTATTGTGACAAACAAGCTTCCAGTGGCAATCAAGTGTCGCTATATTCGAATTGTTACTGTTACATTCTCCAACATGCCTGCCATGAGAGCCGAGGTCTACGGTTGCCCTGAAAACTGACATTACGACGTACAGATATAAACTGGAAAAGATCGCGCGGTTTAAAGGTTTTAAATTTGATGTAAATATGTTGTAAGTTTACAAAATGATGTAAATTTCATGTAAATGATTTCCATCAAATTTACAACCTTTAAAGCGCGCGATTTTTTTCCAGTGTATGCATCCATTTCAAAATGTAATGTCAAAAATGGCGAATGAATATGGCCAGTAGTTTAAATCAGCGAGTATGCACCGCACTTAGTCCGAAAAAAACACTACTTCATAATTACTCGATAAAATAGCGCGAAAAAAAAACTCGAAAAAAACAGCGACTTTGTACTATTTATGTTTCACGGAATAAACGCCGCGTTTTTCTTATAAAACATCTAGTATATGCATTCACATTACACCCGTTTGAAAAAAGAAACGTTGTCAGCAACAATTGCCAGATGAATTTTGGAATAAAAATTTGACGACTTTTTGGGAAATTGGTTACATCATACAGGCACTTAACCAGTGAGATGCATGAATAGTATTTGCTAAAAAACTAATGACATTACCACTATGATGCACCTATTTGGTAACATCAACTCGGTACATGCTGCGCTCTGTAATTTTGTTTGTTCAAGTGTGACTTAGTTGACAACCAAGCCTGTTAGATAAATGGTTCTACTAATAATTAATGAAATTCTACCACTGATATTCTTAGATAGATTCTAAATAGGAAACGAAATAAGACGAGCTAAATACAGTCCACGATAAGCATTTTTCTTAACACGGTTATGGTCGCACGATTCATACAATTATTCCTTTGTACGTACTTTAAGTGTAACGTTTTTACTGAAATTCGGTGCATGCGCTTTGCAATCATGGCTCTAATTTGTTGAAGCGTAATTTGGATGAAAATGCTCTTATTTCGAAATGTGAGTGATGTAAATGCTTACCGAGCATAAATTAATTCATAAATATTAAAAACTTGTATGGAGAAAGGAAGACCTCCAACATAGTTGAAATGAAATTTAGACGTGCACGCCAGACATAGTTAAGTTTTCGATTTAATACATTTTGTATAATTAACACAACTCATTATTCAAATGTTTCCCTTTTACTATATCTTCATTAACTATTCATGATATAGACATATATGACAATTGGATAGTCAAAACCTTACTTCAAATTCTGCCAGACTACAACGATGTACTAAGGAGGTCCAAGTAAGTGAATATAACTCTCTACGTTTATATGAGCTGATTAATACGACTCCCTCGATTTTCTATGCCCTCACTGAGTTGAATCCATTTTCATTGATGGAAGACCTGTATAAAACTTGATAAATAAGAAAGGTATTTTATTTCCTGCTCATAAAAACCCTTACTTCGTTATTGAAAAACTAGTTCTTTACGGAAGCATCAGCGTTGTTAACCTTTTCTTAGCGTCAACAGTTTATTTTGTACAGGGTTCGTACAGATTTTTACATATAAAATTCAAGGACTTTTCAAGGACTTTTTAAGGATTTATCTCTTGGAACATATTTTTCTCAATCTCTATTAATTTCTTTGCCGTGGGTATTTCACAATAGTACAACAGACATTGCTAAAAGGATTGAAATATTATCAATTTGCTTCAAAGCTTGGCAAAGTTGATCTCTAAAACATTACTTTCACAACAAACAAGACTGATTCAAGGACTAAATTATCATTTTCAAGGACCTTTCCTCCAAATTCAAGGACTTTTCAAGGAAAATTTGCATTTAAGGACTTTTCAAGGACCTCCATGTAGCTCCAAAATCAAGGACTTTTCAAGACTGTACGAACCCTGTTGTAGTGTCAAACTTTAATTCTTAGAGTCAAACTTTATTTCTTAGCGTTAAACTTTATTTCTTAACGTCAAACTTTATTTCTTATCGTCAAGCGTCAAACTTTATTTCTCATCGTCAAACTTTATTTCTTAGCGTCAAACTTTATTTCTTAGCGTCAAACTTTATATTTCTTAGCGTCAAGAACTTTATTTCTTATCGTCAAACTTTATTTCTCATCGTCAAACTTTATATTTCTTAGCGTCAAGAACTTTATTTCTTATCGTCAAACTTTATTTCTTAGCGTTAAACTTTATGTAATATATACAATATGAGCGGGCGGTCTGTATGAGGATTTAAATCAGCGAGCTGAAAGCGAGCTGTTTTAAATCCTCTTACAGATCGCACGCGAATATTGTATATTACTTATGAAACGTTAAGGTAAATTAGCTCAGGTTTTAAAGAAACTTTTGAAAAAAAATTCAATCTGACTGAGAAAATCAGAGTAAAAGTTTATGCAAATTAACAAGAAATCTGTATGTAATATACAACTCTCTTCATGGGCTATGATTTCTATTGTGTTTTGCCTTATGAATATTAATGGCTTTTATAATAAGAAATAAAGTTTGACGCTAAGAAATAAAGTTTAACGATAAGAAATAAAGTTTAACGCTAAGAAACAAAGTTTGACGCTAAAGAAATAAAGTTTGACGATAAGAAATAAAGTTCTTGACGCTAAGAAATATAAAGTTTGACGATAAGAAATAAAGTTTGACGCTAAGAAATAAAGTTTGACGATGAGAAATAAAGTTTGACGCTTGACGATAAGAAATAAAGTTTGACGTTAAGAATTATCAAACTCATTAATAATTCATAATGTCATTAGCCAATGATATACTGAGAATCTAATCACGTSATTATACCTTTATATTGGATAAAAGGTGCAGCAAGCTCAAAATGGGGGCGGCTTTGAATATTTTCAGGGGAGTGCGGGGCTGATTATCATTCAACGTTTTCCTGATACAGACCTAATTATTAAAACATTAGTTCTGTGTCAGTGATACAACACGCTCTCTCGTTCTGTATACATTACTCGTCAAACTTTATATTTCTTAGCGTTAAACTTTATTTTTTATCGTCAAACTTTATATTTCTTAGCGTTAAACTTTATATCTTAGCGTTAAACTTTATTTCTTAGCGTCAAACTTTGTTTCTTAGCGTCAAACGGCTTTATTTCTTAGCGCCAAATTTTATTTCGTAATAGCGGCGAACTTTATTTAGTTGCGGCAAACTAAATATGAATATTCGAATTAAAAGGAGAATTCAGGAGTAGTTACAAGCTGAACTAAACTTTGGCTTATTTAAAGTACATAACTCAATAGCAATAAGCAATATAGTGCAGAAAACCTATATACTAACTAATTTGGAAGTAACGTCTCAGAATTCGACGAGAGCCTGAAACAGGTAAGCAGAGTGACGTGTTGTGTGCGAAACAGATGTCGTATTTTATGTCTAATTTCACATTTATGTCAACTAAATAAGTTTTTACTCTCCCAATGCAAGAGCGCAGATGGCTGGAGGTGGTGCTTAACGGAGTATTTAGCGATCGACGTACTAGAAAACGTCCATGAATATGAWTRCCATTTCGYACATACAGTCAACTCTCTCGTAAGCCACCACCTCGTGATGAGGAAAAAGTGGTCGCTTACGAGAGATGGTCGTTTACGAGAGAGTTTTTTTTACAGAGTTTATGTGGGAAACAATTATAACGGGAAATTTAAAAGGTGATCGCTTACGGTATTTGGTCGCTTACAAGAGTGGTCATTCAAATAAAGTTACAGTTGACTCTCTTTGAGCGACCAATCTCGTAAGCGACCATCTTTCCCGTTTTGTTCAGTTTCCCATATAAACTCTGTAAAAAAGCGTTCTCGTAAACGACCACTTTTTCCTGATCCCGAGGTGGTCGATCGATTACGAGAGAGTTGACTGTATTTAGTCGCTAAGAAATAAAATTTGACGCTGAGAAATAAAGTTTGAACGTAAAACATTTTTGCCGCTACGACAGAATGTTTGTCTATAGAGAAAAAGTATTATCACCGAAAGTTAATTTCATAATGTTTCCAAGCAAACCTTTTTCGAAAGTGACTTTTTATTATAATTACAGTGTTTGTAAAGGGTCACCAAAATGAAGAAGACGGCTCACGTTCTTGTTGGCTGGATTTCTCTTGCCCTGTTCCTCGCCAAAGTCAAGGCCTCGTGCAGTGGTTACTACGTCCAGGAAAGGTTTGTCCTTCAAGGTAATCTCCTGGCGTCACTACTTGTCACCTGTCAAGCGCAGTGCGAGATGAAATGCAGAGACAATTCAGGATGTTTTAGTATCAACTACTACGAGGAGCAGAAAAAATGTCATCTCAACAAGGCAACGCATCTTTCAAGACCTCTGCACCTCGTGTATGACATGGGAGGGGTTTACATTAAGATAAAGAATGATTATTGCAGTGATGCATACTGCAGTACTGGACA